CAGGCTGCAGTGCTCGTTCCCAAGGGACAGGCAAACAGACTCTAATCTAATTAAATGACTTTGTGCTCTGCCACTCCGCCCCCATGCAAGGATTCTGGCAGGACCAAGTCACTATGGGGCAATATCCTTGTACTAATTGTCGACGTGTAACATCCTGTAACATCCTCCGGGGTGGGAATACTGATGATCACACTCTACTGGGAACAGTAAATAAACCCAGGTACCTTCCAGCTCCCTCAACTGTGGATTGATAGGTAGATTTAGAAGCAGAGATTAGAATGAATGAAAGGCTATAATGTCCGTACGCTGCCTGCTGCTGTGGAAATTTTTGGGTCTCTGGGACTTTTTCCACTGATTTTTGCAACACTCAACACATCCCTTGAGCAAACATTGCCAAGAAGTTAGCTTGCCAAAGGAAGCATTGTAATAATGGGTGATTTCAATTACCCTTGATACCAAATGGATAAGTGCATGTTTTAGCAGTGACAAATGACAAATACACTTCTCAATGCCCTATGATTGCACCCTTGAAGATATTCTACAGGTCATAGGTAAAGTTTGAACCTCCTTTGGAGAACTTGCTCCACTCCTTTGTCACATGTTTTTGGGCTACCCTTATCAAGTAAAGCATTTATTAGTGAAAGAGACACTACAAGGGCACTGACCATCAGGACCTTGAGCTGATCCATAATCTTACTCGGAACAGAATAACATTTATTAGCTCTTAGCAGGCACTTCCTATTCAATGTTCAAGGACTTAACAAAGTTACCTGGCTGTGCTGTACTGCTCAGAACTGCCTGGCTCACCACCACAATTGCCCAGGTGCTGGGTCTCCCAGTGCTTGCATTCCTTGGGGAAGGGGATTCTATAGCTTCCTTGGCTGATGGGAGTAGGCATTCTCTTTCCCAAAGCCGAATAGGCCGTACAAGAGATAATGGAGAAAGATGCTGCACTGTAGTCTAAGGCCCCAGAACTAAAACACCTTCCTTGACTCTCTTCCAGAAAGTTGGAAACCTATAGCCTTCCAGATGCTGGACTCCAATTCCATTCAGCTAGGATGGCCAATAGCCAGAGATGATGGCAGTTCTAGTCAAATGTTATCTGGAGGCCATTGGTTCTCCACAGCAGGCCTAGACTGACCATCTCAGGTTTACTCAAGGGAATGGTTTTTGCATAATCAAGAAGAGAGAAAACATTGCAGATTTGCACAAGTGACTTGGGTCTCTCTTGTCAGCCACCCTTAAAATGCCTCAATTTCTTGGGTGTTGGTGGAGTGAAGCTGGATGTAGTGTCCTGCCAGATAACACAATGACATGGTAGGACACAGTACACTCTGGTTTCTTGTTTGCACTGGGTCCAAACAGTCATTCCAAAGCAAACATGTAGGGAGAGAGCACATGAAGGCTGTGTTCCATCAGGCCGTGTACGGAAGGATTTTGTGAGGCAAAAGCCCATTCTGACCTTGTAAGGATGGAAGGAAATACAACAGAACTTCTGCCAACCACTGAAGATCATGCCAATGGAAGCTGAAACAACCTAGCTCCAAGGATGTCAGAACGCAGACAGGAGTATGAGAAACAAACTAAATAATGAAGCTCCTGCAATATATAGACAACATGCAAATAATATTTAGTATGCTACTGCCGTCTCTCTACTCAGTCATAAAATTATCTCAAGTACACTGCCTCAAGATTTTTTGAAAATATAAAACGGTATAGAATTTTTCTAAATAAATAAAAGCTAAGGTCACTGAATCAGAGTGGAAGGGTCCAAGGAGCCCTCAGTCTACCCCTGGTCAATACAGGACACCACCTGAAAGCATCTCTAGCAGATGGCTGTCTGGCTGCATCCTGAATGTCTCCATTGTGGGAGAGCTCCTTGGGTAATCAGCTCCACTGTTATAATGCTTTAAGTCAGGAATCTTTTCCTGATGTTCAGCTGGATTCTGGCTTCCTGTAACTTGAGCCTGTTATTCAATGTCCTCCACAAAAGATCCTGGCCCTTCTCTGTGTGACAGCCTTTCAGGTACTTGAAGAGTGCTATATTTGCCTTTGGTTTTCTCTTGTCAAGGTTAAACATCCGGGTTCATTAAATAGGGCTTCTCATAGGGCTTTGTTTCCCTCCTCTGAAACATTTCCAGCTTGTTTACATCTTTCTTCAACAATGGTTCTCAGAACTGGATGTAGTGCTCAAGGTTAAAGTAGAGGGAACTAGTTAGTACTTCACACTGTTTGGAAGTGATACTTTTATTAATGTAGTAACCATTCATGTTGCTGTCTCATATTCAGCTTGTGACCTACAACAATTCCAAGATCTTTCTCATTTGTAAGATGCTTGTAGCTATGCATGTAGGTTTCTTTATCCTAGGTGTAGTTTGGCATTTGTCCTTATTACATTTCCTTCTCTTAATTTCATCCCAGTGTTTTAACCTATCAAGATCATATCAAATTTTGTTTGTGTCTTCTGCAGTATTAGCTATCCCATCCAATTTTGTATCATCAGTAAATCTGATAAGCATTTCCTGAAGTTCATCAAATAATTAATAAAAATGTTGAAAAACATTGGGTTTAGGACTGAGTCCTGTGGTATCCCATTGATTACCTTTCTCCAGTTTAAGAAGATACCATTGCTAAGCAATATCTGAGTCTGATTCTATACCCAACTGTGGATCCACCTGGTAACCATTCCATCTACCCACTTTTACTAGTTTGCTAATCAGGTAGACTAGGATCCAACAGCTAATTTTAGCAGATCACCTACAGACAGGTAGTTGCTGGGATCCTTACCAAAAATATAGGATTAGTTAGACCATGCTTGATCAGGTAAGACACGCATTTTTAAGCATGATTGCATACTTAATATAATTTAAATGCATTTTTCATAGATATATCTCAAGGTCCAAGGGCCTACAGAGAAGCTATTTCTATGTATGCTGTAATTATGAGGAGGCCTTGAAGATGCACATTTGCTTGGAGTTTTGATGTCTAAAATTGATTGCAGTCATCTTGGGCATTTAATTTGAAATGAAGCAATAAGGCTGTAAGTGTTGTGTAAGAAAGATGTATCAGTGGAACATAGGGAACCAAACAAGCAAGTGTACCATCCCAGAGGAAAATCATCCGTCTCCTTTGGGAGGATTTGAAGAATACTGGAATGGTTGGCATGTGCTGTCTTGTGAGCTTATCTGTCCATCCAATTTTTTCTCTTAAATTCTTTATGGTTTGCAAGCAATGAGACATTGCTCGCAACTCAGTAATTCCACCCCAATACACTGATCAATTATTTGCTTTATATGGAGTGCTATCCCGGCCTGTTTTGGGGTCCACAGTAACTTAAAGTCATCAGGTGAAAAGGCTAGGGCTTTCCTAAGCTACTCCCCACCTGCTCCTCAATGCCAAGTGCCAGCAAACAAAAACAGATTCTTTAAAAAAAAATAAAAATAAAATCCTTAGCACACCACTCTCCTTTGCAGCCCTGAGCTCCCCTTGCACCTCTAAAGCAGCTCTTCTTTGCTTTCCTCCAATTTCCTTAGCAGAAGCACAGAGAGTTACTGTACAGGTCTTCCTCCAGCCCTGTCTGGGCCTCACGCACAAGCTGAGAGGACAAGCCTGACCTTATGCTCATACCCTGGGTAAGCAGCGGGTAGATGCTGTATTTAACTAGTGACAGCTTCTAGGCCTCCTGCCAATTCTCCCTGTATTCTGCAAGCAGCAGAACAGGCATCCTCAGAGCATGGATTATCCCTAGGCAGGATGCTCAGGCCTTCTTCCTTGTAAGCCTTCATCTTTTTTACTGTCTAGGCACTACTGTCTTGGCATGAATGAGGGCAAACAGCCAAAAAAAAAAAAAAACCCACACAAAAACAAACCCAAAACAAAACATATCAACTTGAAAGATGAAAAAATTTCAAATATGCAGAAACCACATACTAATTCTTGATTAGAAGAGTATATTCTGGGTGACCAACATACATTTATATAGCTATATACTTAATACAGGTCTTCCAGAACAGAGACTGGTCTGGAGTCTGAACCGCATGGCTAAGAGTACTGCAGCAAACACAAAGCTATAGATACCAGGCACAAGGGTACTTCCCCCTTCTCTCCTAAACAGTTCTCAAAATTTCTGAAGTTTCTAAATGTAGATCTATGTTTCATGAGATGGAAATAAGCCCCATCCTAGACTGGAGATAGACAGAAACAGGGTTTTGGGAATGATCAACCCTTTATCACACTTTAATACTATGCTTGGGCAACCATGCCTGTGGAAACATGTGGAAGCAACAGAATGTATAATGGTACATGTGTCAGTCTTTGCAATGACCTTTAATAAATGAAAGGGAATTTGCAAATCTTCTGCAAAAGATGAGCTGAAACTGCTGCAACACTATCCATAAAATGTTAGTCCATCTATACTCTTGAATATTTTAGTAGGTCTGCATATACAACATTGAGGCAACTAGTGATGCAATAACAACTCAAAATCGTTCCCGAAGTTCTATTTCTATATAAATGTGGCTGCAGCAAGAAAGTTACAAGCAATGCATTCTCCCATGGCAAAATACACCTTTGTCATATATTTTCCCTCTCATGTTTATCTTCTCTTTCTACAGCCCTGTTCAACAGAAATGATATAGGCACAGATGTAAAAGTAATGAAGGCAAGCAGGTCTCTCTAGCAGCCAGTACACAAGCATCCAAATCTAATGAAAACTGCAAGCAGGGGAACACATTGCTCAACACCCTTTTTCAAGACTGATAACTGGGTGAAAGGCCCTAACTGTCCAATGATTAAGCAAGTCCTACAGAAGGGCACTGAAGACCACTGCCACATCTGTCAGCTGTTGTAGGCCCTTGAGGCAAAGTTACCTGTAGCAATGGGGCTAAATCTAGAATCAGCAGAGTTAACAAAAATTTGGTTGTTTGAAAAGCTATACTCCAAGTCTACTGATAAAATGATAGAGGTTCAGCAGTGTAATTAAAGACACAAGGCTTTCGAAGTTAAAGTGTATCAGATTTAATCAGTTTGATTCTAGTTCAAAATTATATTACTAGATCAGGTTGAAAACAATACATAAAGCTGCCTATATTGTATCCATCTCACATCGGCATTCCAAAATCAGTACAACTTCAGGCATGTCAAATTATCGGAGTCCATTTTAGAGAAGGGCAGTAATGACAGACCATGTCTATATCACAAAATTTTGCTGTTCATGTTGAGCGCACTGCATCCCAATACATATATCTGTATTTAAACTGGGGCAAAAGCTAAGAAAGTGGAGTAACTCCCCAAGAGCCTATTAGAACATCAACAGGAAGGAGTTCCCCAGTTATTGCATCAACAGATATATAAAAAATAAAACAGTCAGAACTTTGGGGGACAAACACTTGTTTTGCTAACACTGATTTCATAGGCTAAGATGAAATAAATATAATTGATCTGAAAGAAAACTATAAACACACCCACAAAAGAGAAAAGGGTATTGGGAGTGAAAAAAACACTTTTGGTAAGTTCTGGACAGGATCTTTAGACATCACAAAGTGTGTATTCACAAACATTGTCTGCACACTATTTCTTCAATTTACATTTATTTTGTAGCAATCTGGTATCATGTTTACCCACATTATGGAACAGGAAAAGACATTTCCAGAGACACACTGGTGTTCCCAGCCCCTGATATGCATTTAAAAAAATCCTCAGGCCCTGAACCACAAATCAGCTACAATTCAATGCATTGACATTTGATGATAAATGCCTTCTAGAATTCATTTTCAATTCAGACATTTTGGGACAAAAGCGTAAGTCTTCTGTGTTTGGCATTTGTTTTTTAAGATCATGATTTACTTTCAGTATCGTTAGATAAAGGTCCATTCCTAGAGCTGAAACATACTGACAAGCCATGCTGGAAAACAGACCAACAGAAGGAGTTCCAACATGTATCAGGTTGCACAGCTGAGCAAGAAGTACAAGCACACACAGTCCTTCTTGACTCAGGATGCAGGAAATGCCAGCTGGGAGAGCAGTCGTCTCCAGGGAGGGAGGGATATCTCTGTTTATCAATAAGAACATACCTGAGGGAATCTGAAGAATACTGACAGAGGGAAAATATTGCCAAAATTACTTCTGCTTAACACTAAAAGCATCAAAAATATGCTCACTTTGTCAGATGTATCAGCTGCAGACAGTATATAAAAATGTTCCTGTATACACTGTGCTTCTGAAAAGATCCAGCTCATACATCAGCTACCCCAATCTGGTGCCTTCCAGATATTGTAGTCTACACCACCCAGCGTTCCTCACTCTTATGCTGGCTGGGACTGATAGGAGCTAAAGTTCAAGACATCTGGAGGGCACCAGGGTATGAAAGGCTGTGCTTCAGAGACTGGCCTACTCGAACTATACAGTAATTCACAGAATAGGTCAATACTGTTACTGAGACTTGCACCCACTCTTTTGTTCAGGGTTGCCTCAGGATGTATCCAGGATTCCAACTAACAGAGGCTGACAGGAATCAAGAAAAGGCCTTAAGATTTATTGTTCTTAATATTTGCAGGCTGAAACACAATTTGGTCAAGTTTAGAACAAACCAATTAGCATAAAGATGCAATTGATACTGCATAGCTAATCTAGAAGCAGTGGCCTTACCTCTCCCTTCAACAATCCTTTGGGTCACGAGGTATCCCATCCCTAAAAATATGTAAATAGCACCCCCTTTGCAGCAAGAGAACTAGCTAAATAGAGGGTGAGGACCCAAAATCCTTTGCCAGAGCAATCAGTGAATGTAAAAGTACAGTTATCTTCCTAGATCTGGGCATGCACATTGGCACAGACAATGCCACATTTAGAGCTGTAATGCCAGCTTCACACTTTTTCTGGAACACATCTGAATAGAAATTGCTCCATGACTGTATAGCAAGGAAGCAGTGTCCCTCGCAAAATCATACTCTTTTGACCTTTCCCCACATAGGGCTAAATACACGCATGCCCTGCTACTCTTACAGGCATGGTTTTGGGGGAAACTGCTAACGCTTCCAGACAGAAATACCAGTAATGCAATCCTGTGAAACAGTTTTATGAATACTCTGAATGGGCTCAAACACTCCACAAGCTGGAGCCACTGCCAGCATGAGGAAACTACGATCATTTTCCAAGGCAACCTTGCTGTATTCCTGGGCCCAACTTGTTACTTCCAAGGAAGAATGGGTCCGTAAAATCCCTGCAATTCTTATTGCCTTAATGAAAGGTACTTTCCAAGATTTTCTTGCCTGAGGAATGCACGGTGCTAAATGGCTCCAAACAGTTTCCTATTACATAGGCACATACTATTACAATTAAACGCATGAGTAAATAAGTCTCTGAATATAAAATAGGGACAAAAGCTTAACCAAAGGTTCAAGAATTTGGGACTAAAGAGAGCTAATCAGTTTCACTCTCCCTTCTTCAGCTCACTTGGCTCTGTCTCAGAGGTGATGCTGAAAAAACGCGTGCTCATGACAAAAACAGGATTATAAATATAAAAAGGAATTCACTGTCAAGCACCAGTAACGTTGCCAGCTTTGTGCAGGCGTGGTGATCTAGGAAACATTCCTAGAACCAGACATTTAATCCAGGAGAAAGTATTGGGGGGCAGTTTTCATCCGTAGCACTGCTGCTGTCTAGGCTGCTCCTAGGGGTGGTGTTAAGATTTGCCTCTGGATGAGAACAGTTTGTACTGCATAAAGCAACTCACTGCCAAAGGTGTTGCCATCAAGCTGGTTTGAGCCAACTGGTTCAAGATGTTAGAGAAGTGCTCCCAAATTCTACACTTGGAGTCTGCCATTCCGTTATCTGACAACTACCTTCAAGGTGTGCAGAATCAGGTAAGTTTATCTCTCCCTTTAAAAAAAAACCTGGATGTGAAGACTGTCTGTTTGGCCTCTATTGTGCTGGAGTGCTAGCATCCGCCTAGAGGTGGTCACTGCAATCCTGCTGCCAGCTGCTATTCCATAATGGCCCGGTACAGTGCAGGCTCGATGTAATCCTCACGGTAGCGTGAGTTTATCACCCTTTGTCTTTTTCTCTCTTGTTTGACCTCTTTCTCTGTGAAGATCTCTGTGAAACGCATGTCAGAAGCAACAGACTGGAAAAAAAGATCAACCGAGACTGTTACCTACAAGAGTAGCACTCACATTCCCCATTAGAGGTAGGTCAATTTTTTTCAATTTCTTTTCTAGGAAGTGCAATGACAACAGATTGTTTATAACTAATTCAAAAGCTGAACCATGATTCCATGAGTTCTATAGGACAGCTCCTGATAATCAATTCAGGATGCTTACCCATTGAGAAGATTAGGACAAATTAGAAAAGGGGTCAACACCTCCTTTCATGGAACATACCAGTCTTGAATACTGCACACACTAAGAGTTTATCTAAAAGAAGTTTAGGACATCAATATGTAATACCTTTACTGCACATGAGAAAAATGTGAAGTACTAAGACACTTTTATAAAAGAACAGAAAATAGATTTCTTAACTAGAAGGTAACACACAAGTTGAGTCAAATTAGATTATACATCCTAGGCCTGTATACATAGGATTTATATGTGCATTCAGGATCTTTTCATTGCCACAGCTATGGGTATTCCAGTATTGTGCACAAATGCAGATTTCAGTATTGTGTGCACAATACAGCTTCCTGAAAAAAATCACTCTTTAAAAAAACTGCATTGACTTCATGGTTGTGAGCATTCCCTGCACATTTTTATAGTTAGGTGCCTTATGAAATTTCGTAATATAGAAGAGGAAAGGATGGCTGAATAGGCCTGTAAGAGGACAGGGCACCAGTATCTGATATAGCTTCTTGCTCTTCTCAATGACCAATGGAAGTAGACTAAACTATCTAAGAAAAGACACAAATATTTGCTTAAGAATATGGTCACAGATCTCAGATTTCCTCAATACACTATTTTTAAAGCACAGAGTACATGTAGCCCTACCCACAGTTCTTCCTAACAGTAGCTGCCAGCACAGCAAGCTTGTTTAAGCCAAGCTAGCTTTTAAATACTTCTCTTGGTTAGACTGACTAGTGGCCCGAAGGTTCTCTTCAAGCAATATTTTAAAAAACTGAGTTCTCAGCTGCATTCAGAACATGTGCTATGTCATTATGGGTTTGTATTGCACCTTGCAGGGTGACAATCCCAATTGCTCAACAGGAGGCATATGTCACCTTTGTTAATAATTGCAATGTAACTGTGCGTGAGGCATCCAGGATGGAACAATCTCAGGCACAGAAGAGATGCTCCGCACGTAAGGATGAGCTATCTATCTAGCCACTTCATCAAAAACAGTGAATCAACTTTGTGTTCTCCAGGACTTACCAGCCTTGACTTGACCCTCTTGGGAAGTTCTTCATTAAGTGTGTAAACATCATCCCTTTTTGCCATCAGTTGGGATCCATCTTCAAATTCCACCTAGATCCAGAAAAACCAGAGATCTATCAGATGGAAAAAGACAGCAATGCCATGTTTCACGTGTTCATGAACCTCTGCATGGAATGCTTTTGTTTTTCTAGCAAATAAGAACGGAATACCTACGCATTCTATAATGGTCACAATGGGGATAATGTACTAACTGCAGTACAGAGGATGCTAACAAGGTCTATATTTCAAATGGTCACCTCAACCAATGCAGGTCCCACCCTAACACAGCTATAGGTTTTGAGCCGGTGCAGCCCAGACCACATCATAGACTTTATGTGCCATTTGTATAACAAAGAAGTTTCTGAAATAAACAAGGGTGGACGTCCACCAAGTTAGTAGGTCACAAGCACCACACAAAAAGATAGAAAGAAAAGAGATGGAAACTCAATTCCTTTCTCTCGGTTCTCCTACCTGGTACATTTGGATGACATGTGAGGCCACAAATGTAGCTCCATAGACTTGACCATCTGTCCATCTCACTTGAACAACTTCCCCTCCGGCTGGGGGACCCAGCTGGAGACAGTCTCGGCTCTGTCCACAGTTTGAGAAAGTTAAGCATTAGCTACCAGTAAATGGGGAGAACAAACAACGCCTAGCATAATCTACCCTGAAGACTGTTACTTATGCTTAAATGCTTAGGCTTATCAGATCAGGGGAAGGAAAAAAAGGCAAGTGTCAGCTCTCTGATAAGGAATAGCAGGAATAAACTTCTCAGAATTCTTGTAACAGAGAATTCCTGCCTTTATATTATACAGCTTTTAATCTTGTGCCAGAACAGCTCTGAGGAGTGGAACCACTACTACCTAAACTTTGTATCAATAATACAAGTGAAGGTCTGGCAATATGAAAAAACATATACTCAGTGTTTCAGACTTGTGCCACCACTGTTGCTTCACCTGGACTTATTTGGCCTTCTTAAGAAAAGCTGCTAAAAGCACCAAGCAGGCCAACTAGGAGAGGGGAAGGAGAAAATTGATAACACAGAAGTCTAGTTATGCAAATGCTATGTTCAGAGTCCATATCCTACAACCCAAAATGAAACACTACTGAATCTTGCTCAAGTCTTTAGAAGTCTGTTCCACGTCAGTATAGCAGTGACACTTTAGCAATATTAGCATATAACAAGGTGTCCTCTAAAACCATACACCCCCTAGTGGAAGAGATCCCTTATTACAAAGCATACCACAATATCTTCCGGGTACAGGTTATCACTGAAGGAGCCATCATCAAAGTTGACCTCATAAAAGGTTTCCTTGGTCAGACTGATCACTTCACATTGGTAGAAACGCCCATTCTTATGCTTGCTAATCACTGCCTGCCCAACAGTGAGATCCTGTAGAGCAGCCTTGGCTCGCTGAGGAGAGAGGAGTATGGAAAAAACCTAGATCTTCATGTTGTGTTTTGAAACAGATCTGTTAAAGGCATCTTTATTACCAGTAAAGCAGAAACAGCTGTTTAGGGAGGGACAGATGACTACAGTAACATGCTAGGCAGTCAGGAAAACCCCATCCTGGTAGAGAAATCACACAGTATTTATATAGCATATCAGTTTAAACATTTCTTGATAAGCCAGATAACTGAAATAATTCAGTAGTTACAGAGGAAAGCAGCAGCTTCAGCATTCTTGTACTTTCTGGCAGCTACAACTCTCAGAACAGATAAGAACATTCTTGCAATTCAAGGACCAGAATGAAACATTCCTGTCCTTTCTCACCCTTCCCACTTCCTTTTACACAACATTGTTCCAGACCAGTTTGAGCCTGATTTGTTTTAATTGCCACAGGAGCTATAATCAGGACATATACACAGAACCCAAGCTTGGATAGTTTAGCCCCTCAACATTATCCCCAACCTTATGGAAGGCTGCTTCCAGTGTGGGTTTTTTTAATAGTATGAGAAGAAAATTTGCCTGGAGTTGTCAATTAATAAAGAGGAATATTCCCATAATCTTGCTTCAGAACAACACATTTTTTCCAAAATTGCATAATGTTATGTGGTGATACATGTTTTTCAATAACTGACCACTTACACCACTGTCCAGGTCCCAGTTATCCAGTTAAGAAGTTCAGGGGTGATGGATCCAAGGGAAAAAAGTTACCTGAGCCTAAATGAAACCTAGCAGTCCCCATTTCTTACCTCTGCCTGGGATGGGATCTTATGCCTGAAGCACGTAATGAAGACCACAAAAGGCCAATCATCTGGCTGCATCATGACTCCAGCAGCTTGAGCACAGCTGACATGGAAGGATGTAGGACAGCGGCCATGAGAGCACTGCACACAACAACCTGCAATTCTCTTCCGCCGCTTCTTGCAGAAGACACATTTCTGTAAACAAAGTGAGCATTGCCATTGAAGTGTTTCAACAGATCCCAAGAAGCCTAAAAAATAACAACCACTATGCAGTCACTTCAACCCTATCAAATTCAAATGTGCTTTAAGTGTTACATTTTTGCAGTTGATCTTGTGAGGTAAATTTGAATATATATCACACAAGAGTGACATGGTCACAGGCATAAAATGCTGAACCAGATAGGCTTTTCCCAGATTTTTTGTTTTTGTCGTTCTGTTCTCAAATCCCAATTGTGTCTTACCTACTGTCTTACCTATTTGCATGCTATATTTACCTGACTATATGAGTCCTGCGTTGTATCAAACATTGATAAAAGATCTGCCAGCAAGATGAGGAACCACTTTATTGGCTTACCCATCTGTTTTCTCCATCCCCACCAACCAATAAATTGTCGATAAATAGCCAGGAATAGTGCTCCCAGTATCTCATATACTCTCATGAAATGATTGATAGCCTTTTCCAATCAGATGCCCTCCAGATGTTTTGGGTTGCTTAAAGACAGTTGCCTGGCTAGTGTGTGAACTAGATAAACCTTTGGCCAAATTCTACATGGCTTTTCAAATGTTCTCAACTCCCAGCATCCCTAACTATAAGTCACACTGACTAGGACTGATGGGGGCTAAAGTCCAAAACATCTGAAAAGAAGCAGGTGGTAGAAAGCTGTTCTAGTCAGTTGCAGTGAAACTGGGACATTCAATCTAACACTGGCCAGAAGATGCTTTTTGCACTTTGGTGCAACCCTGATCACTCTTGTTTAGGAACGTTTCTGGGACTACAATTCCCAATAAGTATTAATCTAAAAAAGTTGCATAGTATTTATTATGTTCTATTGTATTTCAATGTATCTTATTGTGTTGTAAGCCGCCCCGAGGCTTCGGCAAGGGGCGGCATAGAAATGTTATAATAATAATAATAATAATAATAATAATAATAATAATAATACATGCAGATAGGAGAAAGGTTAGGAATACAGGGGAGAAGTTAATAGGAAGGGAGTTGGAAACTAGAAAATATTCATTTCAGTTCCCCAGCAAATTAAGTTTGAACAGGAGTTGTCTGTAAGTATGTGACATGTGAGCTGTCTCGAGGCTATAAGCGATGGGACGGCATACAAAAACTCTAAATAAATAAATAAATAAATACATACATACATACATACATACAGAATGACATTACTAAAGCCAAGCAAGTATAAGACTGGCATTTGAGAACACTCGTGTAACCAAGAAGGGCAGGACACAAATACATACGCTTCTAGCAAACAAGATATCCACTGGGAGTACCAGAATTCCTCAAAGTGGTGCTTTCTTTGGCATGCTGGCACTTTGCAAGAGTACTGCCACATTCGTATTGGTATGCTGCTAAGAATGCTTAATTATAGGAGTTCACAGATGGTGTGCCAGTTACAAACTCACTCAGTGGCCTTTGGAGGTCTAATATTTCTAAATTTTATCTGCAATATGAGAATACTGTTGGCCTAGTGTAATAGTACCATTGTACAGACCATTAAAATATTTTATTTGTACTATTTGTACCACTAAATATTTAAAGAATCTTTAAGCAGTTTCCAAATAAATGTTAAAATCATAACTAAAATTACATTTAAAATAATCCTAAAAACAATACAAGAATAATGTATGTGTTTAGTACCCCTAAAAGGCACAGTATACCTGTCAAGTGGTATAATTTACCATTTGGAGCTTCATCCTATCCTGTTTCACCCTACAATCCATATTGTCTGATCCTCCGTATCTAGCATCATGTGATAAATAGCTTATTTAATTGCTTTATCAGACCCCTTATGCAAACATCCTATAGCCCATATGTTGCAAACCCAACCAATTTGGAAGAGCAAGATGGTTTATTTCCTTACCAGCCTGAAGCGTTGCAATGGTATTTTGCTGACATCCACTGGACTGCGCTCAGCAATGTTTACAAATTTGGCCTCTAGAACTGCCACAGCACACATAACGTGGACCCACCTGGAAATAGACAAACATCCTCTGTTTGGTATAAAGCACAGGAACCCATTTGGGTTATATAATCCCCTGCCCCATCAACCAGCTCTACAATAAACAGGAGAACATCACTCTTGAATCTATCACATGAAGTTAAGTAAACAGCTGATGCATTTATTATTATTATTATTATTATTATTATTATTATTATTATTATAACATTTCTATGCCGCCCCTTGCCAAAGCCTCGGGGCGGCTTACAAACACAATAAAATACAAAAATAACAATATAAAATTAAAATTAACAATATAAAATAAATAAAAATATAAAATATAAAATATAAAAGAAGGGAAGAGACTTTCTATATTTGGTAACTCCTGGAGACTCACTTGTTGTCATTGGCTTTTTGAAGTGCACCTCCTCGAAGTGAACACAAACAGCAATCCTGACAAAGAGGAGAAAAGGCCATTTTATCAAATCAATCAACATAATTTCCTCAGAATTTCTCAGTTATCCCTTATTATTTTTTATTATTAAGGGTTTCATTAATTTTGTTGTTCTTATTGTTGTTATATTGCATATTACCTTGGTAGCTTTTAAAAAGGCAGTGTAAAAATGCTTAATGAATATTCCTTTTGATGGAACCTTCTTATAGTCCCTAAACAAAAAAGAGTTCTATACTGCAGAATGTACACGAGGATGCTGAAAGCTGTAATCTAAAACATCTGGAAAGCACCAGGCTGGGGAAACCTGAGCTAGTGCTTTAATCACATTTGTCCATGAGGAAACTCTTAAATCTTGCAGACTAAAAGGAAGAGGAGCTTAATCAGTTCTATAGGAAGCCTGCAGGAGGACTTTAAAAATTGCTCAAGCTAGCTAGAACACACATAACAAGGTCCAATTATCGAACTGCTTTCAGCCATCAGTGATGCAGGATCTCTGCTTTATTCTGATAAAAGCTGATACATTTACAGTATCCTATTTAATAGGTATTTCATGGCAGACAAGACAAGGTGGACCAGAAGAACAACTTTATAAGTCGGAAACCATTCACTAGACCAGTAGACCAGGCAGTGATTCCCAACAGGCACCATAACATAAAATCATTTTGACAAAGGTTTTCATTGTATGACCTACGGAGCTGATACAGAAGAATTTCAAGAGACCTATCCCAAAGGTACTACTATTTAAGTCAGTTCCAGTATGAAGTTCTGCATCCAAGAGAGAGGTTTTATAATGCTCAAGAATATATTTCATGGATGAAAATAAGTCAACTATGCAACCTGCTTAGAGACAATTCCATAAACCAATTTATGACAAGATATAATTCACAGGATCTTGTGGAATTTTCTTTAAAAATCTATCAACTCTTTCATGTCCTCGAATCTATTGCAAAGGTTATTCTAGGTCTGTTATGCTGACTGCAATAAATTCACCATCAGATTCATCATTTTATTATCCCATTGTTGCAAACCTGAATCTAAATAGAGCTGCCAGGCTACTGACGGGGACTGGGCATTATGTTCAATTCAAGGTGTTGGTTATTACCTATAAAGCCCTTAACACAGCTTGGGTCTTGGTTACCTAAAGGAGCGCTTACGCCCATACGTGCCCTCCCACTCCTTGAGATCAGTGGGAGAGACCCTTCTCCGGGAACCCTCCGTGAAGGATATTAGGAGGGTAAGTACCTGGAGGAGGGCTTTCTCTGCAGTGGCGCCTAATCTATGGAATGCACTCCCCAGAGAGGTCCGCCTGGCCAAGCCCTTTTTATTTGTCGTTGTTTTTTGGTGCCAGGCCAAGACCTTTTTATTTAAATGTCATTTTAATTGTTAGCTTATTTATTGATTTTATATCTTTGGCCAGGACATTTCTAATTATATTGTTTTTATATGATTAATATGTATTTATTTATTGTTGTAAGCCACTCCGAGGCTTTGGTGAATGGGGCAGCATAGAGGTTTACTAAATAAACAAACAAACAAACAAACTGGCTGAGACTGCATTGAATTGAGACCCATGCATATACACAAGAGAATTTTATTGAATGCACCAGGCAGTCTTACCTCTTCTAAAGCATTAGCTTTGCATCGAGAGCATTTCCAGTCCTCAGTTGCTTTTTCAGGAGCAACACCGTAACAACCTAACATGGAAATGAAAAAATAACTTCAGCAATCTAAGCAAGTTCTCTCTCTCTAATAGCAGCTAGCAGCTTTTCAGACTCTACTCTTACCTTATATATTATGTACTATCAATTAATCGATCTAATTATGATAGCTGTGTCCCCCACCACTTGGCTAGTGTTGAGACCAGAGGGAGAACAGAACAGAGAGTTCTATAGAATCTAAACGAAGACAGCATTACACTTATCCTTCAATCATCTCTTCAAATTACATCACTAGCTGTCAATCAATAGCCCTGATCCACTTATCCCTCATTTAAACTGGAATGTCAAGTCTACATTTCCTTCATGACTTACTTGAAACATAAGAGCAACCATGTTTGGTCAAATTAATGGGTTCTGTTATTTAAAGGAGTAACTAAAATAAAGGAGTTCTGAGCCGTCTTAAGACCTATTTTGGTATAGACAGGATGTAAATGTTTTAAATAAATAAATAACCAGGGCACTACTGCTACTACAGCACCATCCCAAGTATTCCAAACTTCAATGCAAGGGTAGGGAAACTTTTAGGCCAAGGGCTTACTTCCATTCTCAGAGAAAATTACAGGCTCCATTCTAGTAGTAGGTGGGTACGAATGCAGCTTAAAGTTCTTACTGCCAGCAACTAATCCTTAGGAGAGACATTTCAACCTTTTAATAATAGGAAAAAACTACACAAAAGCTGGAAAGCCATCAAATGATTTTTAGTTGAGGGAACAGCAAAGCATCAGATAAGAACCCCAGGGAGAGGCAGATTCAGCCCCCAGACCTGGGGCAACCATCCTCTGCTGTAGCACTTTAAGGTATTAGGGATACTGCAAACATTAGGTGAGAAATTTTCAATGGCCATCCTGATATTGTTCATTAGTTGTTTTGTATTCTTCTGAACTCTTAACACGACTGCCCATTAAAGTTTTCCAGTGCACTCACTAGCATGTACGCGGACCCGACATCGCTTGCAGGTGATCAGAAGACTGGTGCCATCTTCTTCCAAGTAAGGGGTAGAGAGGCTAACATCTGTGCTACAACCAGTGGTAGTAAAGCACATTTCAGGAATCAAGGGTTTAGTTCTCATCTTTCCATCAGCTGCATCTGGAACTGCTTGGGAGCTCTGGCCTCCACAATCTGCCTGCCGGGAGAAAAGGTGCATTTTACAGGAAATAAGCTTCAGAAAGCAGTGTAGCTACTAAAGGACTTATGTTCTGTTTGGTATTGCCATGACCCAAGCTAAACACAGAAGGTGCTTTATATTGTTGTCTTAATCAGATGTAACAACATAGTCAGTGACAGGATTAGTGGAAAATCAGAATGAGTTTTGGTAGAATACTCTGTTGGAAATCACTAAATATTACGTTTGTGGAATTCACTCCCCAGAGAAATATGCCTGGCACCAATACTTTACATCTTCCAATGCCAGGCAAAAACTTTTTTGTTTTCCCAGTATTTTAATTAAGTGATCAATTTTAAAAATTATTATATTTGCTTTTATCTACCTTGTTGGGTCACTATTTGCTTATTTAATTGCATATGTTTATTTGTCATTAGCTTTATTTTTTGCTCTTACTGGTTGGCTCAGGTAAAAACCGCTGAAATGTTTCATTGTTATTGAAATATATTACTATTGTTTTGCTATTTTATCATTATATGGTACTTTTTATCTTGTAAACTGTTCTGAGAGCCAAACTGGCTATTGTATATAAAAGCTTGTATAAATAACTACAGAAATAAATATTGCTGTCAAAGAGCTAATCTCCAGTCAGATCAAGGCACAGAATGTTGTTATGCAATTATTTTAATAATTTCAACAGGTCATATGTCAAAATAGAATACAGGTTAGATGAGATCTTAATGTCATATTGTAACTCTAGCACAGAGCCTAGTAATGAGGTGCAAATTTGATTCTAAGAAGTTAAAGGAAACAAAATGTAAGAGGAACCTCCAGCAGTTGCAGAATATAGCCTGTCACAACTCAAGAGACACATCCAATAGCTGCCAAGAGTTGTCATAAGCAATGCATTTTGTGTAAGCAAGCACTGCAAAACAGTGCAAAGGGACTCATGAACTTCTTTCTTAAATAAAAAAGGAACCACACTAGTCGCACCACCAATATACAATTATGATCAAAAGAACTGAGATTAACAACTGATGCAAAACAGTTTCATCTATGAAAATATATGCAAAATTGCTATCACATACATTTCAAACGGTTTTGAAGATTATTTTTGACAGCTATAAAGCATGAATACCTTAAAATTGTATTGAAAAGGAACTTTGCACAACATAATAGTTTTGTATGCATTCACAAATACACCTCCAAAAAACCTTTATTGCAAGTCCCGATATAATCAACTCTCCAACTTTTCAAAATACTCTATCACATAATAGTGGTTCTAAGCCTGTTGCAAAAGTGTTATTTATGTAACTTCCAGCAAAACGACTGACGGTGCTCAGGTCTGAAGACGCTCACTTGCATTATGAAATTTACAAAATTAGAAGACACTCTAAAATGTACAATGAAGCTACAAGGCAGTTTATAAAAAACAGCAATGCAAAGTTCATGATGTTAGGGCACCAACATCACTTATGATGAAGTTAGAAATTTAGCTACTGGCAAGAGCCAGTAGTAAAACTGAAGTAGCACTGTTAGTGTCAGAATCCTTATGGACCACATTCCTTCTGTGTCCTACAATACAAACTGCAAAAGGGATTTAAGCTTCTCACCTGGTAGGTTTGGAAAAGCATGCACACCGCACAGTAAGGGGCCTGTTCAGCCATGATGGCATTATACTCTTTTTCAGCCTCAAAGTTCGGAGGGCGATTTTGCCACAGCTGGCTGAGGGGCTTTGCCCATGCTTCTGCCTCCTCCATTTCCTCTTCTGTTGCTAGCTGCTCTGACATCTCTGCAGTAAGAAACAGTAAGGCCAGTCAAAAATTAAAAGCTTTTGGCTTTTCTTTCTTGCCAATCAAGAAAATAATAGGTCTAGATTACTGGCAAGACAATTAATTAGACATACTACACAGTACCACGAAATGGGAACATTCTCTGTCCCACTGAATGCTCATCCACACCCACCTGCTGAGAATGCAATAACTACAAACATGACTTTTAATTTCATTTACAGAAATTATATCCTGCTCCACATCCAAATAGAGTCTACAGCAGTGAACAATTAAAAAATAAAATAGATAAAAGAATGATAAAAGAATGTTAAAATGGGTTATCGGTACATCTGAGGCTGGTCAAGTCAGGGAAGACTTCTTCAAGCAGGGATGTTTTTCAGGAGGTGCCAAAAACAGCTGTGTTGGTGCCAGCATGCCTGACCTCTTGAGGCAGAGTTCAATAAAAATGGAGTCACTACACTAAAGGGTCTTTTGTGGGTTGACTCCAATCAGGCCCTAGCTCCACATGGAACCACCTGGAGCATGCTATCTGATGACCTTAGTGATGGGGCAGGTTGGTAAGGGAGAAGGACACACTCTCAAGTATCTTGGCTCCTAATTATTTAGAGCTTTCTACACTTATCATTGGCAATTTCACTACTATCTCACTACTTTCACTGTTACAGAGAGTTGTGCCATTTCACTACTATGGCACAACAGCATTCTATAACAGTACAAAATGAGCACAGAACTTACCATCATCACTGAGGCCATCATTAACTAGCAGGGGGTGATGACGAGGGAGTTTGCTTAAGGGCTGACGACGTCCTTTTGACTTCTTCCGATCTTTAACTGATCTTATGTACTCCTTTGCCATCTGGGCAAGACAAAGGTAGGTCAGTAGGCATTATACAGAAATGGTTCGGGTTATTATGTCTTAAAACTGAAGTTAGCAGGAAGAGGAGCAAAAATCTAAAAGTTGTTTTTGGACAAGACACATTTGTTGTATGAAGCTACTGGACAGAGGCTGAATGTTAATACAGCCTCTCATTTTTTTAAAATGCCATGCCATGCAAGACCTGCATTTTCCAAAGGTGCTCATATTTTAGAAACTAGAGATGTACATGCACAGCTTTTGAGCATATGTAGCTTCTGAGCATCAGGTATTAAGAGTAACTTGGAGCCCAAGACTAAAAAAGCAGTCCTAACATGTACACCCTGTTAAATTCTTATTTAAAATCTAATTCATGTTTGTAGCAGCAAATCACACAGAATGTCAGACAGACAGTATATTACAGAAAAACCATATGAAGACTAAGACCATTGTTCATCATGTGACCCATCCCATTTAGATACCACTGATCATTACAGTCTGCTATGGCAAGGCAACTTTTTCATGAACCACCACACCCATGTCAATCTTCTCATTACTTTGGCAAGCTCTTGTTCATTCACACTGGCTTTCTTCCCAGATGGCTGCACATCATCCATGCCATTGGCATCTTCTTTAGCATAACTGTGTACTGTGAGCACCTCGGCTTGCTCAAGGGCCTGTCTGGGCAGGTCAAGGCATTCAGAACCTGAAGAAGCAGAGCACAGTGGAGAGCCAGACTGAAGGCTGGAGCCTGAGCCTTGCTTCATGCCTGATGGGGTCAAGGCTGACGTCACAGAATGTGAAATGGAAAGATCTAGAACAGCTGCCTCTGGCTCTTCCTCTTCCTCATCTAATTTGACATTTTTCAGTTCTTCAAATTTTACTTCTGAGGAATCTGCATATTCTGAATCAAAAACAATGTTTAAAGTATGCATTAGCAATTGTTACTAAAGTAAACTAGATTGCTTCTTAAAGCTTAAGTAGACTGATTCCAACGGGAGCTTCCACAGATTAACCACCAGCCTAGGTCCAGCCTAATTATGCAACTACTGCACCAGTAACCCTTATTATTTTCCATGACCAGACAAAACATTCTAGTTCAGCCTCCTCCTCCAATTTCAAAGCAAATACGTAAATGTTTAAGCATTTTTTCCATTTTCAAATTCTTGTTACCAACTTTGAGTTCTTGGCTTGCAAGAAGTTTGGCTCCCTACCCCACGCTTTTTGAAGTCTACCTCCTCTACTTGTGTTCCCCAAATATGTTGCCAAACCATGTCATGTTTTAAAATTTCATTTTAGTGTTTTTTTACTGAATATGATATTTTAGATTTTATTTTACTGCCCCAGAATTTGGTTATACTGGAGCAGTTATAAACATAGCATGTAAGACAAATAGAGTTATCTTCTAATGATTTCAATGACAGGCTGCCTATTGTTTTGTAATTCCGTATCATTAGTTTCATAACTCTTGGGAGATTACCGCCTGATCCTAGGAGCTAAATGCTATTCACATTATTAAGTTGCTCTGAAACATTTTACTAGGATGTCAATGCTAAAAAGAATCTGAATGACTAATATGAACCTTACTGCAAAGAATCCATCTAGCTACTCTCCATTTTCCTAAGCTCTCCTTTGTTCTCTGGAGTTATGCCAATTTACTTGTTGAATTTCTGCTCCCAATGCTGAAGTACTCCTATACCTTTTTTATTTAGTGAAAGTTGTGATGCCTAAGAGTAAAAGCATAAAGTTTCAGTGTCACAGCCCACAAGGAGAGAGCATGCACTTGTGCAGTGGCACGACAGACCCTGAAGTAATTACCTGGGGGTGCAAGCCCTTGGTCCCCTTGTGGTACAGGTTCTCTAGCTGGTCCAACTGGAGACTCTGCCACGTCCATGTCAAACTGTACTGGACCCAGCTCCTCCTTGGGAAAGGCCTCACTTTGGCTCACTTCATGAGGAACCTCCAAGCAGACCCGGTGCCGCTTTGTTCCAATACGGTGCTTTGTCACACTGAAAGAAACAAGTTAAACACAACTCCAATCATCACATCAGGTTGCTAGCTCTGATTAGTTTGCGACCTTCCTGTATTGTTTCAGAAGCTGAAGGCGCAGCTCCAAAATGGAGAAACACTTCTCTATGGGGAAGACCCCCTGGGAAAAAAACAACAACCCAGCTATCCCATTCTCCGCCACAACATGTCCCGGGGGGTGAGCTTTTGTTAACACCAATACTTAGAATAAGTTTTGCAGTATTTTCTCACCTGTAAACCTCTATTTTAAGTAGAAATTTCAAATGGGATATATTTGCCTATGATATGAAGGAATCTTAATGAACGCAATCTTAAACTGAATCAGACAATGGCAATTTACACTGATTCTAAAATAGACATATTAAAGCAACTCACATTTTCTTTAAGTGTTCTCTCACCAACCTACAGTAATAATGTTTTGGGAAACAGTCTGGCTAAATAGGACAAATTATCCTTCTTCCCTTATGCTTAAATTTCCTGTGTTCACTGACACATTCAGTAGCTTACTGGAAGATGAAAAACTTCAAATAATATATGTTGATCATTATATCCCCAGTAGGTTGAATGAATCAGATTGTTCATTTCTGGAAAGGGAAAGTTTTCATGTTTGTTTATTTAAGATATTTGTATGCCGTCCTTTGCAAGAGCCTCAGGACGGCTTACACAAATAAAATACAAATACCTAACATAACATTAATGACCCACTCGTTACTGTTAAATTAAAATTAATGCTGCAATTAAAATATGATAAAATTCAATATTAAAACTTATTAAAATATTGTTTAAATAAAAAGGTCTTAACCTGGTGCCGAAAAACATATAATGACGGTGCCAGGTGGACCTTTCTGGGGAGCACATTTCATAGACGGGGTGCCACCGCAGAGAAGGCCCTCCTCCGGGTACTCTGTCTCCTAATGTCTTTCACAGAGGGTTCCCGGAGGAGGGCTTCTGCTGCCGATCTCAGGGGGCAGGAGGGCAAATAGGGAAGAAGGTGTTCCTTTAGGTATCCTGGTCCCAAGCCATTTAGGGCTTTATAGGTAATAACCAGCACCTTGAATTGAGCCCGGACTTCGATGGGAAGCCAATGGAGCTGATAGAGGACTGGGGTTATATGAGAATAACGCCCAGTCCCTGACAGCATCCTGGCAGCTCTGTTTTGCACCATCTGAAGTATCCAGATGGTCTTCAAGGGCAGCACCACATAAAGCGCATTACAGAACTCCAACCGGGAAGTAAGCAATGCGTGTGTTACTGTTCCTAGGCAATCTTCCTCCAGGTAGGGACGCAGCTGATGGATTAGCCGAAGCTGAAGGAAAGCGCTCCTCACCACCGCTGCCACTTGAGCTTCCAAGGACTGCATCGGATCAAGGAGCACTCCCAAGCTGCGGACCCTGTCCTTTAGAGGGAGTGCAACACCATCCAGGGCAAGGCCCAAGTTACCTACCCAGGAGCTCGAATCACCCACCAACAGAACCTCTGTCTTATCTGGACTGAGTTTCAGTTTATTGGCCCTCATCCAGCCCATTACCTTGGCCAGGCACCGGTTCAGTACAGCCACTGCCTCACCTGGGTTAGTTGAAAAAGAGAGGTAGAGCTGGGTGTCATCAGCATACTGATTACTCCGCAACCCAAACCTTATGACCTCCCCCAGTGGTTTCATGAAGATATTAAATAGCAAGGGGGACAAAATGGAACCCTGCGGTACTCCATGGCAAAGTTGCCATGGCGCAGAGCCAAAGTCCCCCAGTACCACCTTCTGGAATCGGCCGTCAAGGTAGGAGCAGAACAACTGCCAAGCAGTGGCTCCGACTCCCAGTCCTGCCAGCTTATCCAGGAGGATACCATGGTCACTGAAGTCCAGGAGAACCCACAGGGACACACTCCCCGTCTCTCTCCCTGTACAGGTCATCATACAGGGCGACCAAGGCAGATTCAGTACCATAACTGGGTCTGAAGCCAGACTGAAATGGGTCCAGATAATCAGTTTCATCCAAGAGTGCTTGGAGTTGTCTCGCCACCACCCGTTCCAACACCTTGCCCAAAAACGGGATGTTGGCCACCCGTCTATAATTGGAAGTCATCTCTGGATCCAGAGATGCCTTCTTTAGGACAGGCCTGATTACCACCTCCTTTAAAGGAGTGGGCACCTGGCCGTCCCTCAGAGAGGTGTTGATGACCTCCAGGATCCAGGAACCAATCCTGTGTTTGGCTTTGGTCAGCAGCCACGAAGAGCAAGGGTCAAGTAAGCAGGTGGTAGGACGTACTTGTCCAAGCACCTTGTCCACATCATCAGGCCGCATTAACTGAAATTCATTCATTAATACCTGACCAGACAGAGCCATTGGTGTCTCCCCTAAAGGATCTGAATCACTTGTGGAGTCCAGCTATATAAAATCATAATATCTTTGCTAGAATCAAAATGTCAAAGCCATGAATCCACTTTATTTTTCCAAATTCTTCTATGGGCTGGGTGTTAAACAAAAAATTATGCCCTGAAGTCTTGCAGTTTGTAAACACTCTGAAGGTGGAATGCAGGAGGATATGCCCAAACATAATGGATTAAATGGGGTATCTCAGCTAGCTAAATAACGATTTCACTGAATAAAAACAGTTAAGCATACCTCCTCTTCTCCATATCTCCATCTGCTTTGCATTCTTCTTCTGGCTCAGTTTCCTCAGGGCAGTGCTTCTCATTCTGAACTTTCTGGAGGAGCTCTCCCTTGAAGAACTCAGCGGCTTCTGGTGTTGGAAGGGTGTGGTCAATGACTGTTACATCTTTTCCTGCTTTCCAGAGCTTGTAGCGTTCAGGCTGGTATTTCCTCACAAAGACATCCATTGATATTTTGACCATGTCCTTTCTGCACGAGCACTGCACAAAACAACAAGCCAGCTGAGGCTGCTTATCTTTCCATTTTAACCAACTTTACTCTGCTGCCATACCTTCTCTTCCTGCAATTCTCCCAGAATTTCTGATTATACCATCCCAAGTTAGAATTGCAGACATAAAGATTAGAGACTGAAAAGTAACACTAACATGTATAAAATGCATTCCACATTTAAATACTTTGAAATAAAAAAGTGACCAAGTGAATGGCCTTTGATCAATTGATGCTGCTGTACTTCTAAACTGATGTGTGGTTTGGCCCACATGAAAGCATGCAGCTAGTAAGACTGTTGAATGGAAGAACACTTACAAACCTGAAGAAAGAGTAAAATAGACACCTAACATATTTAGGTTTCTGGGACATGTACTGGAACCTCAAAAAGTCCTGTTACCCTGGGCAATATCTTACTACTGGCTAATGCTAATAATGTTGTATTTAAGTTCCCATCTGATAGCATAATATAATTGTCATTTCCAGAGTGATACAGAATACTGCTCCCTATTTCTATTTCACAAGATGAAACAGCAGTATATACATGTATTTCACAAGCTACATTTATCTCTTAACTAATGCTTTACACCTGCTAAATATTGACAATTAAGATAGGTCATGAGTTTTCAAACTACGGCCTGGGCCCACCATGGCCATTTATCCAGCTCGCTTCCGAGGTTTTCCATGCACCCACCACTGCCTGCCTCACCCCCTGCACGGGGAGGCGGTGGCTTGCTCGCGAGATCATTTGGAGAAAACGATCTCCAAGCGAGCAAGCTGAATTGCCTGCCCGCCGCTGCATCGTGGCATGTGCCCACCCCCACCTTGCCATGCCCCCGCACCAGCCCACACACCCTGCCGGCACCACCTTTCTGGCCCGCGCCCAGCACTGACACCTTTCAACTGGCCCCCTGGTGAAAAAGTTTGAAGACCCCTGATATAGGCCAATGGGCAGTAGACCTGCATAGCAACTCAAAGGGCTCTGATGAAATTCTCTCCTCATTCCTACGAAAAGTTTGAATCCAGAGATTTTATTCACACTAAATCCCACTAAACATTTTTATATGCTGTCTCAAACTTACAGATTAAAAAGGTCAACTCAACTTTACATCCCATAATTGTCAATAAAAGCATGTTATTTTTTAAAACTGATTTCTAAATCTCCAATCAACCCAGATCATCACATAGCTAGACAAAGAACTAAAATGTTGTTTTCTAAATAGAAAAGAAGCACACTATTTAACACGTACTAAAACAGACTGCTTTCCATACTCAATCCACCTAAGTGTGGCAAAATTAGTAGATTCAGCGCAGTTGAAACCATGATTAAAACCAGCGTGGTATCCATACGGAAAGGTTATCATGAATTCACCTGCTTCCTGGGTGACCTGAAAGAGAAAAGGTTTACTTGGATTTCCATAGTTCACACAAACCCTAAAACTTGTATTTTTCATTGCTATGGCATTAGTAATAGCATGACTCCTTTACCTAGCTTGCCAGAGAAATTATCTAGTAAAAAGATACTCTAACAAGCCACAAAATAAGCAATTTAATCTTGGCATAAACAATCAAACTAGATCAAACACAAGCAGTTGAACACTGAAGAGTAGAGATTAAATGAAACTCAATCTAATGAACATGAGTTGCATTTGATACATTGTCTAAGGCTGAATCAATGTACCTGTGCTATTCACAAAGTTCTGGGAGATGCAGACTGATTTCGTATGTTATGCAAAGCCATGGTGATTTCTTACCCTTGTTGGTCTGTCATGCTGTCCACACCTAGTCATTGCATTTGTCTGTAGTATGCTTCCAAAAACCACAGAGAGAATCCAGAATATATACTAAGGTTGTCACATTTCACCATGGCTACTCTGGTTGTCCAAACCTGTAATCTCCATGTTACAGAGGCCATTCAGCCATCCTTTCTCTGCCACTCTCAGATCACTAACAAAAGATGTATCATTACCTACCTTGTTTCTATTGGCCAAGCTATGTGGCCATCACCCTTTTTCTTTTGAAAACAGAGACAAACAGGTAAATGGGGAAATCACAGCAAAAATGTTTATTATGGCTAAATAAAAAATCATCTGGGGACTAGAGTGGCTATGAAGTATTGCAGAGGTGCAGACATTTTCAGGAGGGGGAGAGGAAGAACCTGCCTCAAAACCTCAGTGGACCAAGAAGGATGCCCCTACTGAATGTCCAAAGGGAGCAACAGTATGAGAAGAGATGTTGATAAGACAGGAGGCTGCCAGGATATGTGGTGAGACCAGAAGGGTGGAGAAGTGTGAAAACTGTATTGCCATAGGAACCACATCAGCATCTGACTGATAAATTAGGCAAAAATCCACACATCATGGAAACTACACAGGTAGTTTCTGGCATATTTGAGTCCAGCTAGATAAAAATAAGGTGCAAGATAGATCTTAATCATTCACTGATGAACAAATAAACAAATTATATGTAAGCTGTGACTTTGTAGCATCTTCCAATCCTGTAAAACTGATTTTGCTTTTTTGGTTGGAAACTGCAAAAAAGAAGTAGGCCCGACTGTTTGAAATACAACTTATACTCTCTAAGCACAAATCAAAGCAATTTACTGCATGCATCATCCCCTTACAGGGCATTCAACTGTGTATCTCAGAATTCATTTGCAAAAGTGACTACATTTCCTGGGAAGTTTAAAGTAAGTTGCATTTTCTAGAAATAAAAACCCCAGCGATTATTCCAGTCTTAACTAGTATCATATTAAACAATTTGAGCCCTGTTACAAGTTGTAGTGTAGAGTGCTTCTGCCAAGGATTCTAGCCATTCCACTCATTCCCACTTCCTCACTTTATGTCCTATCCCTGAATAGTATAGGGCAAAGTATGAGCATTGTCAGTCCATATTAGGCTGTTTTGGGAGGAAGAACAAATGTGTCCAATCCAATTTAAATTTAAATATTGGATTACTCATTTAATCTCTACAGCTAGCTTTTCTTTCCAATCATAGAGACATTTTTAAAAGCCTTGCCATGAAGCAGGAAATGAGCTGTGCAGGCGACAAGTAGGTATTCTACATTTTTAATCATTATTTCTTTCTCCTACTATCCTTCTTTCCCAGTCATTCTATTCCATTATTTTTCCCATTTGATTTTCAGTTTTCCTTTCTCAACTTAGTCTGTAGACACTGAGCACAAATGATTCTCATTAGGGTGTTTTTTGTGGGCCTTACTCTTTAGTCCCCCCCCCGCCCCAAGATGTGTTTGATATCTAAAAAAAGGTTGGGATCCCCAAGTCTATCAAGGCTTCCCTTTTGTGTTTTGCTGGGTCAATTTTGTCTACATAAGAAGAGTATTTCAAGGAAAGAAGTAATTAAAATAAAGCATTTTCTGGTCTGGTGGTCTAAAAATCTGACTTCTACAATCTTACAACGATAGCAGGTGGTGCATAGCTTTGCTTTAATGTTGTAGCCATGTTGCAGCTGCTTCCTTACCTTATCAAAAGGAATTCCGTATTTCTTCAGTATGGATGGAGAGATCAGGGTCATTTTGTGACGGAGGAAAGCTTCACAGCTCTGGGCACTTCCAGGAAAAAACCCTATTTAAGAAAAGAGTGTTCAGTGTATATATTTGATCTAAACAGACTACACAACTGATTGAAAAAGGCTAAAGGAATAAATACTTTCTACACTACTCTTCTTACTCAAGAAGCTATGAGGATTAGAGACAGGGCTGAAAAGACATTACCATGGGCCAAATGCAAATTTCAGGACAAAAGAAGGCTTGACTTGCACCCATTGTTTTCAGTAGCACATAGGAAGGTGTACTTCTTTATCTAATCTCTTGCCACAATGCAAATTAAGTCAGAGGCTGGAGGACCCCTCATTAGAAAATTTTGACAGATCTTGCACACAACAATGAAGATGCATCTATAAACTAGGACCACTGCCCAGCAGATTTTAGGCATTTAAAAGCAGTAAGTTCAGAAGTAATAGAAAATTGAAGGAGGAATTGGAAGAGAAATACCTGAAATGCTAAAAACAAAGACTCTAAGAGCAGCTATTTACAGCAAGTTTTTACTTTTAGAACCCTAAGAAAAGCAGGATATTGTTCATAGGTTACAGAGAAAATGAAGCTATTAAACTGGACTTCCCTAACTTATGTTAAATAAAGGTTATTTTACTAGCATAAATTGGAATTAAAATGAAGCAAGGTGGATAAAATTGCATGATTTTAAAAATCCCCAAAATCAGGTTTTAAAATTTAATTAAAGAAAGTATTTCTCATTTTTAAAATAGCTAAATAGTGATTAAGTTTTACTATAAATGTCTTAAACCTATATTTACAGCATAATAAAAATGAATTAATGGCCGTGTCACACTCATACATATTGGTAGGAATTCAATCAAGTGCGGAAATTCATTTTCCATCTCATGAAAATGGCTCTGTCCAGCATTGGGCTGTGGTTTCTGATTCTCAGACTGAAGGCACATATGCAAAGATAAAGGCTGGATAAAGTGACTGTTGTTCCAGGCTTCTATAGTGTTGGAGCCAGGCTAAGCAAGGCAGTTTTTCAAATGAGTGTAAATACTAGGTTTCTCAAAATAACTAGCAGTAAATAAGGGGCAGTTGGAGAAACATCTTATGGCCCCTGAGTGAACATCACAGGGACCACAGGATTACTCAGAAACCCTCTTCTGAGGTTATAGACAATGCTCCTTACCCCTGGAAGCAAGAGTCAGAGATCTACTTCCAGCCCCTAACAGACAGCGCAGAGAGAACCACATTGGGGCCTCTCTGAGGTCAGAATACTGACCGAGGAGAATGGGAAAGGGGAATGTTCTGGTGGGTGGTTGGGCGGGATGCGATTTATCCTGAGCCCTCTCCAGTCTCCTTCCTTCCCCATTCAAAACACTGTCATTAGAAAGCCCATCTTGCAAAAAGAAAAGAAAATGGAGGATGGGGAGACAAAGATCACCTCCACTGTTCCTCCCACTCTGCTTCAGACATGCAAAGCATAAAAATCTCAAACAGTCCGTTCATTTGGGGCTTCTCAGCAGTAAGGAACCTCTAAATTGAATCAATGCTTCCCTACCAAATACATGGTGTTAAAGGAAGCTTTTCTATTCAAAGGGAACACAAAGCCAATCACACACACCCTCATGAATATTTGCACTCAAGCCAAAAATAAGCATTTCACTACCAGCAGATGAAAATAAACTATCAAATTTTGTTTTGACCTATCAGTTATGAGCATTTCATTTTCAGTCATTAGTTAGTTTTTGTGAGGACAAAACTGGCCTGATGTTGTATCAAACAGAAAGAAGCAACACAGCTGGAAAAAGAAACAAAATTCTCCATGTGAATCTTCCTGTATTACCATACTTAGGTTTCAATCCTATAGGCCTTGCCCTGCAGTAAGGCCCACTGAACTCAGTGAACTTGTTTCTGAGGAGACATGTATAAGATTGTAGTTTTAATCTCAAGTTATTATGGCTAATGATTAGAATCAAAACCATATATAGTACATTTTTAAAGGCATTCCCTGCATATATTTTAAAAAGAAAGCACAAAAATCATGAACCATGAGACCAAAAGATGCAAATCCTCCTTATAAGAATGAAACACTGTAAACAATATTCTTTTTAGATGTAAATCAACCTGGTTGAAAATTAAATCACTCATCTGGAAACACACTAAGAAGTTTAAATGGGAAATGTGATTAATCAACCCTTTGTCTTGATTGAAATTATGATTTAAATCATCCCATCCTGAAATGAATGTAAACAGCATTATTTTTAGTGAGTTTTGTCCCCCATGAATGCATAAATAAAACTAAATACCTCTTCTCTGAATTCTAACAAATGCTATACCTCTCCCAAGAGAGTGACACCCAGTCTTTGAAAAATAAGCCTATGTACAGCAGCTTTCCAACATCTCAGAAGAGATCTCTCCTAGCCTTCCTTCAACTAGAAATGCTATGGGTTGAGCCTGGAGTTATGCAAAGTATGTTTTCTACCACCAAGCTATATGTTCCTCATGTTCTCTAATCTAAATGGTTGTCCAGCTCTTGTAGTAATTCAAGCTAGTTCCCAGTACACATACATTTTTGGCACCTAATGGATAATACTGATTGATATTTCTCTTCCAATTCCAGGTTGAGGAGGTGTTTAGGGTTTTCAACCTTTCTTTTAAGGTAGGAAAAGAAACGTATTTGTCTATATCTGTGTTCATACAGCCCTTTAAAATGTTAGCCTTGCATTGTCTCTGTTACATTTCATCAGCAATACCCATCAATTTTTCAATGATTGCTACTCTTAAGAATGAATGAAACTGGTTTGCTCAGTAGGGACCTGTCATCAGACCCAGTAAATTTCACCACTCAGTTGACTTTTCAGTTGAACTGCATGATAAATGGGAGAAGGTGTTAACATCAGAAGGGTTTTTTCCCTCCATTACAAAAAGCTATCCCTTGTTAGTAGGTTCCTAATGCTGTTGTGGAAGTGTTAAGAAAGTGTTAAGTGTGAAAGTAGCTCCTACTGCTCTTTGGAAACAACTAACATCAACTAACATCAGTTGAACACATCAGCTGAGACAGGAAGAGATAGTTACCTTTAGCAAGACGTTCCAGACGCTTCCCATGCTCTGGAGGAATGGAATACCTGTAATCACAACCAAGATAAAAGAAACAATTATGGGGTAACTTGGGTCTTTTAAGAGTTTTAGACTTAACCCCCTGACAAAATCCTATGGAAAAATTATTTGTATTACCACAGCAAGAAAATCTATAAGCAAATACAGCTATTTTATTCCTATTGCTTAACTGTTAAACTGAAGAAATTAGAAAGTTTGCTTGCTAACAATGCCGTCTTACTAGGCAATTCATGAAATACAAATCAAAAGACTGGCAAAATATTTCATGCTTATGCACCATGGAAAATTAAATATAATTACGCAATGAAGGAGATCTCACCATGACTTGGGTTCCCCAAAATGCAGGTAGTTAATGCTGTAGAGGTCCATGTCCTCGGTGTGCCAGGCAAATGAAGTTTTCCACATACCAAAGTAGAGATAAGGGGTATTTACCCCCTCAATGGTAATGCCACTTTCATTCTCCACTATATCCAAAATTGTATTCAGATGGCCAATATTCCACTCCTCTATATGCTGAAGAAATGAAGCCAGTCAAATGATAACAGCAACCAACTAACACAAGAAAAGCTATAATTGCTCATCTCCTCACCATGCTCTGTTCCAGAACATTTAAAACAGTGATTACTGGTGTAACTAGCAGTTCTGCTATTGCCAATCTTAATTATGACTTTAAAATACACATAAAAATAGGCCTTTATTTTATTTGTGCTACATTACTGCTATCTTCTAGCTTGTTTGTAACTTCATCAGTGGAAAAGGATAACAATCTTTAAGAAGAATTTAAGCAGAGAGTAAATTATACTTAACTGAATGTTATCACTGCAGTAAATAGCAACATTACAATAGTATAAAAACCTGATTCCTCATGTATACATAAAAGAAAAATAAGCAAATTGGGTATCACTTGTACCTATCATCAGCAAAAAGCATGCCTTCTGACAATGACAATGTATTTGTATTTATACCATTATACTTTTGGACAATACTATTATTTGTTTATATATAATTGTATAAACATTACACATACTCTATTACACACACAGGAAATAGCATTACTAGTGGTTGTATGGGAGGGAAGTAGATGCCTCAGATAATAACAAGCTATTTTTTAGAGTCTTGCTTTTAAATGATACAAGAGAGTAGTGCTGCACATATTCTAGAAAATTTATTTTAGGAAGCAAGTTACGAGCTTTAAAAACACCTTTTGGTTCTTAGCACAAAGGCAGATAGTTTGCAATCAGTGCTGAAAGCAAGGTAAACTCTACCCACACCAGGAAAACTACTACACATGTCTCCCTCTTTACCTTGTCATATAGGGTGCCATTAACATCGGCACCATATATTGGAGCATTAAATGTGAGGTTTTTCCAGTACTTGCGTTCAAGGTCTTCAAAGTCAGTATATCGAGGTGTGCAGTACCTAAAGCAAAACAAATCTGTTTTTATCCTGAACTTCCTGAATAATTTGGTTCACTGGTCATTATCCCAGAATTATCACAAAAAGGGCAAACAGTCAAAAGATAAGTTTAGATAAGCACTATATACAATTAAAAGGTTATAAAGGAAGATGGTTGCATACAACATAAACAATTACTTTATGTCCCTCCTATGGCAGATTGACACAAATTAATGAAGCTAAATAATATGGACATACTTTTCAAGGCCGGTATACTCTAACTTGACTTCCCCCAACTTGGTTCCTGCTAGATGCTTCTGATTTTAACTCCCACCATGCCCAGTGAGCATGGCCAATGGTCAAGAATGCTGGGAATTGTAGTCAAAAACATCTGGAAGGCAGCAAGTTGTAGAAAGCTGCTCCAATACATATATGTAGTCCCATTAAGAACATAAAAATTATGCAAATATCCATTTGACAGAATGCTTTTCTTACTTATCATTATTTGCTATTTTCCTGAACTCCCGAACTGTCATAGCCTTCTTCTGGATGTTATACTGTGTGAAGAGGCCTGATTGACCAGTGACAACTTGCTGAATAGGAGCAGGAATGCTCAGATCATCAATATCATCATACCATCTGCGCGGTTTCCATTCCTTAGGTGGAACAACCTAGAAGGTTCAAGAGAAAAACATGACAAAAGTTCAGAAAACCTGGCCAGTAAATAAAAGAAAGTGGCTCTGCAGATAACATTTCAAGAGACACTTTCCCAGAAAATAATAGAGTTCTCACTCGCATTATATTGCAATAAATTAGTTAATTACTTTATAACAATAAAAGACAGCTAAACTTATTAAAACTGCAAGGTTAAACTACAAGCTGGAAAGCAGGAGATACTTGTTTAAGGGTAATATGGCATACCAGAAAAAAAGTCACTGCAGAACAGAACATATTCCACAGGGTCAGAAAACCAATCAAATACCTCAGGTTCCCAGCAACTTCAAAATCTGGGTGCATAGTACTTCTGCTAACTGAGCTCTACAGATCACAGAATAGTAGAGTTGGACCCAATGTCCCTCTGGCCCCCTCCAACTGCCTGCTCAGTGCAGGACTTCAAGTTAAACCATCCCTCTCAGATGGCTCCATCTCAAATGTAACAGCAACATCTGTACATTCACAGGGTGACTTTCTTCCAGTCACTCACTCTCAGACTAACTCACTTCACAGGACTGCCACTGTGAGGATAAAATGGAACTATGTAAGTCCCCTTGGGATGCTCACAAGAGGAAAAAAGGTAGTATATAAATGTAATAATTATAACAACAAATGTGTATACTATCAAGAGTATTTTTGAGTATCATCTATGGCTAGTCTGTTCTTATACAAGTTAATATTTATATAAAAACATTTAGTATAAGAGAATTTAAGTATTCAAGCCAAGGTTGCATCTGCCTGGGAGAATTCCTCTGTATCTGGTTCAGTGCTTCAGCTGTATTAAAACCACATGCCAAAATGGCACCTCTGGTGATGTTGGGAAGATTACCCATAATGCCCTCTAATCTACTGGAAAGTCAGAAAGAAGAGCAGCACCAATCAGTTCTTGGTATGCAAGGTTTCATGATCAAAATTGCATTTCTAAGGAACTGATTGCAAAGATAAACCTCTACCCAAATGTTCCATGGCCCTTCTACAGTTAAGAAATTATTTAAAAAATGTGCACACAACTACTTTTTTTAGAACTGTTCAAATATCAAAGGTGGAATCCACCAGCAGGACTGTGGGGAAGGGAAGACGCCCTCCTATAGCTCTCTGCACGCCCTGAAGATCTGCTCCAGATGGTTGGGGGATTTACCTCTCATATCAGCACAAATGAGAGATATAAAATAATTAACAGACTCTCTTTCATTTTCCTCATACTACAGGAAAGTTTGTAAGCTTCTTCTGTTACTGGGCCCATTCACACAACAGCACAAGCCACTATGGCTAACACAGAGGGCACTATGCTGACTAATATTTTGAACCTTGCCACCTGGTTCACACAACACAAGCCACTGCAAGCTGAGCACCTCTCTGTGCCATGCAGAAATGGGACCTGTCATGATGCAACAGCTCTCACAAGTAAAATAAGTCCTGTTAGACTGTTGTGTTGTATGAACCAGGTCAATGAGAGCAGTCATGCAAACCGAAGAATTGTAGTGAAAAATCTACAATTTGCGGATTTTCATCAGTGATAAGCATTAAGATTTATTCACAATGAAATTGTGATACCAGAGCAATGTTTATTAGTACAACACTCTGGTATCTCAACCAGCTACATTATACATCTCTGAGTATAAACACACTTTCTGGAACCCTTCTTACCTTTGCCAGACCAGCTCTATGAGCTCCTTGAGACTCTATGTATGCAATATAACGACTGAAATTTTTGAACTCTTCCATAGTCGGGTGGAATGTCATTATTCTGGCACTTGGATTAAGGTTTTCTAATTCGGATGCCATGGTTCTTGTTTAAAACTTTACTTGCCACATCTAAATCAAAAGAAATATTTAAATTATACAACAGCCATTAAAATAATACAAAATATTATATAAGGTGCTTCTCCAGCACAATAAAAGTATGGTAAGAGGTGCTGAACATCAATCAAGGTACAGAGTTTCAGTTTTTCAAACATTATTAAAGATAAGGACTGTCTTGAGAATAAAAAGGTGATCCAGCGCCCCTCACTGTTTTATTTAACATTTTCTTGCTTCCCAACATTCATATAGGACCTTAGTTTTCAGAAGATTAACCGTTACATCATAATGCTGCACTACCAAAGTGCAAGCATCAGGGTGTAATGCCAACACTCCTCTTTGCCATCCCATCAGTTCCACTTAGTTATGGACAGCTGTACAGTAATGACTATAGAAAAGAAGAGAATAGAGCATCAGTGCACTAGCTACTTGCTGGACAGAGCATCTATCTCAGTAACTACATGCTGAGAAATGTATTTTCACAAGATATTTTTTGTGGCGGGTGGAGGGATCAGGTTCTAAACCTTGCCATTGGCATATAAATGGTTTACATTTCCTTTATCGCTAAGCAATAATAAGCAAATAACCCTGAGTAAGGAGGAAGGGAAAGATGCCTCTGCGCTGGGATACACACGCTTTCTAAAAGCGTGTTTTGTTTGTTTACATATAGACCAGCCCTGCCTGGAGAGAAAGGGGGTGTACCCATCACAGGAAGGCGTGCGAACTTATTAATACCCACCTCGAGATAAGGAAGGCCTGGTTGTGCCTACATGTCGGGGTCCTTGAGCAATCCTTTGGGGCGGGGGAGGAGAACAGTATACATTGCTCGCTCACGCGCGTGCAAGGCAGGTGGGGGAAACCGACCATTCCTCTCCTTTTGTGGCAAGAAGGCCCCAGCGCTGAGACAGCGCGGCTTCTTTGCCCTCCGGTTCCATCGGCTCAGGATAAAAAGGATCGGTCCCGTTTGCTCGCCCGCCCGCCCGCCATCTCCCCCCACCCCCCGCGGGGAAAGAGAAACGCTCCGACGCTTCTCGCTCCGCAAACGTCGATTCAGGTTGGGCACGCGAGGGGGGCCCTCCCAGATCAGTCTTTCCTTCCCTCCGTCCATTACCGTTCTTCCCACCGCGACCTCGGTGGCCCACTCCCAACCACCGTCCCGCAAGGCCCCCTGCCTCGTACTCACCTAAGACCCACGGACAGCACCTCCGCCTTTGACAGGGCCCAAGATCGAGTATTCGCCTGAGGCCAACACCGTCTTTCATCCCGCCTCTCACGTCACGCTCACGGCGCGCCAGAAACCAATCCTCACGAGCGCCTACGCAGCTTTTGCCGTATTACAGGCTACATGCGCTGCCGATCACTACGTCTTCTTCGTTTCGTCAGCGTCGCGACAGCGGATCGCATTAGTGCTCCCCGCTGTGAAAGTAGTCCCGTGGCAGCTTACGAGATGCGCGCGACGCGGTTACGAGAGTATTTGTTTAGGCGACAATATGCAGATCCCTCCGCCAAATTAGTTAAAGAATTCCTTCCCTCACCTCGGTTGCTTCCTCCATTTTCTCCTGCCATCGCTCTGGGGTCTTCTCATCACAGAGTTATTGTTCCGATCCAACGGAAGCAACCAATCATGAGGAAAAGGAGTCTTGTTGCTAAGCAGATTTTGTATTTAGATGAAACGCTGAAGAAAGGAAATAAGTGTTCAATCTGATGAAGCTCTTATTTAAAATTTGTGTTTCGTATTGTAAATAATGAGCACGGTTAGAGGAAGAAGCGTCTATGGGAGTGGGTGTGATTTACTACTACTTTTTATTAGTTCTTTTTGGCCTACCGTATTACTTGCTTTCAGTTTCACATTAGCCCTGAAAATGAACACATTTTGAATTACTTATGTCTGCAGGGGAATAATACTACTGTTATTTCATTTACAGATCAGTCAAGACCTATGAAGGTTACAACTGTGAAACATTGACGATAAAGCCCAAATCGGATTAGGCTCAGTTTAAATTGGAGAGACTGCAAATCTCTCTTAATTTTTCCAAAGTAACAGTGCCATTAATGCTGGGCACCATAAACAGGACAGTGTTTATTTCACTGGTTGCCTATCTATGGGGTTCCCAGAGGCTGCTGGTTGGCAACTGTGAGCAGGTTACTGGATTAGATAGGGTTTACTCTGATTCAGGTAGAAAAAAAAAATCATGACACGTTGATAGGAGTAAACCAAGAGAGGATTCCTGTTCCTTCTCCAGATGGAATAACCTTGTGCAGTCAGAATAACAGCAAGGTACTTCCAGATGCCAAGGGAGAGCCTACTGCTCCCACTCAGCTGCACAGTGGCACTCAGAAGGCATTAGGCAGCTATTCTGTTAACTGGTTTTCTGCCATAAGGAAAGCATTTAAAGAAACGGGGAAAATAGGAAGATTACAAACGGACCATTACAAGGCCATCTGGACCCTCTATAAAAATTGTGAACAGGGGATGGCCATACAGCAGTAAAAGCATTGTCTGGAATCACCTAGTGTTACCAGAAGCCTTGATCACCACTTTGTGTATCACTCTTGAAGGTGCTCTTCATAGAGCCTGGATTGATAACCTTAAACATAAGAGCTTACTGGCTCCTCCAAAGACTAGTTCATCCCCATAGTACACTGTCTTTGTCTTTTATTGCCATAATATATTGCCAACTGCATAATACACTGCTTATTATTGTGTGCAATTAACAAGAAGGAACACCATTTGTGTACAGTTAGCAAGAGAAGGCAACTTTAAGTAGGCTGAAGATGGAACACGCTAGAGTGCAGAAAGAAAAAATGTGGAGCCCAGTCCTGTTCATGTTTCTGAACAGTTCTTTGGCTTCAACTGAACTTGTTCTGTTTGTAAATGTGCACAGGGTTGCACCCATTGAACAGAACTTTTTACTCAGAAGGAAGTCCTATTATGTTCAAATGGACATATTCTCTAGTAAGTATACATAGGGCACTATGTATATTTTTGCCACCACAAGAGGTGCTACTTAGATTTTCTGCTGTAAGTATCAAAATGTATCTAGGAGGGTAATTTGATTCAGCTGGTTGAGTTGGCTTGATAAAGCACTGAATCAGAGAAACAGAACTGGATGCCAAATATTTAGTTAACATTATTTTAGGCCACCTTTAAGGATGGAATCATAACAAAGTATCAGACACGATAAAGAGCGTACAAAATGGATACTATAATTATTGCTGAATATGTTCTTTTAAATTATTTCCCTGCTTCTTGGAAGTGAACACATGGTAAATGTAAATTGATTTTCCTCACCCTTTTGACAGCTAAAAGACTGCTATTGCAACCGGAGGGATAAATGTTCACCTCCTATAATACAATGGATTGAAGATTTAACATTTGAACAGATAGCAAATAGACACAACCCTCAAACAGATACATATGTGGATATTTGGTCTTTCACATTTATGTATATGCATAATTCATATATTCAATCTGTATGGTTTTGTTGAAATTTGCAGTGAAAATAAAGTTGCTATAATAAAAACTGTAAAACCATGTTTAATAAAATCAACAAAATACAAATCACTAATAAAAATCAATAGAAATAGGGATTACCAATAAAGCCCACAACCAAATGTTCCAGAGTGGCCAGCCGAAATAGTTAAGTCTTCAGAGCTTTTGTGAAAGGTTGTGAAGAAGCCCTCTGATAAATCCCTGGTGTAAGCTGGTTTTAAAGGTGTGGGGCACTGGAAAGGTAGTATAGGTAGGCTGGTTCAGGAGAAGGCAATATTTTGAGTAATTTGGCCTCAAACCAAATAAAACTGTAAGGATTAAAACCAACACTTTGAACTGGACCTAGAATTGCATTGACAACCAGTGCAGCTCACATAGTAACAGTGTCACATGAGGCATCCACTTAACTGCATTCTGCACCAACTTAAATATCTGAACCATCTGCAAAGTCAACTGCATGTACAGCACCCTGCAATAGTCCAGCTTGGCTATCACCAGAGCAGGAATGTCTGAGGTGAGATTCTTTTAGAATCTGTGAATGCTGCATATGTCCTTGTTAGAAGCTATCCATTGCCAGGGTGACTTATTGCCCACATAAAACTACCCTGGGGAAAGCAATCCAGATTTGCACATCACACCAACTTACGATGGCTGATTACCCATAAAGTACTGCAGTGTCATCTAAATCCAGCCAATGCATGGTTTCATAAAATTAGAATCCTATGGCCCCTCTTGACAGTGTGTGAAACACCATAGGAAAATGCAGATCACACTCTCCATGCCTGTAGACAGAACTATGAGCATGGAGGAGGATCCAATTACAGTTCTTCCTTCCTCCAATCTCTATTCCCTCATAGTCACTACCAAAAGGTGCTCTCACAAAGTGACAACTGTGGCCTTGTAAGAGAAGCTGGACAGGAAGAAAAGGGATGTGCTGGTGGGATGGGAGGGAGAGTCTGCGAAACACAATATTCTGTGGACTCTTGTGTCCCCTCCTCATTTGTCATGGGCAGGTCTCTTCTCTCTTCTCCAGCCAACTCAGATGAGCACAGGTTTTTTGATAGAGCTTAACAGGTTACAAAACCTTATAAATCAAAGTGGAATTTTCCTTGAGATGTGTCAGAAGCTTCATGTGGCCATCTAAAGAGATCAATCCAAACTTAAACATCCTTCTCTTTCAGAAAAGCTTTTGACTCCACCCTCAGAGTGGCTTCCCCTGCTTGAGGGCACTTCAGACACTTCATACTCAGTCTGCTTATTTTTGTGCCATCTCCTGACTGGGTCAACGGCCTGCTTTTCCACCACCTCCTGCCCCAGCTCTGAAATGTCTTCCATGCCAGACTGACTCCCATGTTCTACCTGAGACTCTTCATTAGGTAAGACTGAAGCTGCCAAGTCATCTGCTCTTCTGCCTCCAGAATTGGACAAATTTACCTGGGTAGACTAATATGGTTGAGCTTAGCCCCCACCTCTAACACCATCTACTGAACAATAAGTCAGCTAGATGGGCTCAGAAGCATTTTAGATGGAGTAATACAGGCCAAATTGCCTCCATCCTGTCCTCTCCATCACTGGTTCTTGCTGGAAGAGTATAGGATAGATGGACAGTTCTGAACTGTGAGTTGCCTGTCAGGTGGTGGAACTGCACTCTAAGTGACACAATAAAGGGCTATAAAATTAACTGGGCAACTTCAAAGTTGCTATTAACTTTTTTCATGTAAGTATCCATAGTAAATATAATGCATAATTCTTGGGTATCCTAAACATAATATGTTACATTCTCCAATGCCTATTTTTTCTTAAATGTAATCAGTGTAAGGAAGTGTATATTTCCAAATTCTTCTAAATATTTAGAAGTATACTAATAAAAGCAATTTGCAACTATACCTTTCAGTTTGTAATTCAACATTTAAGTTGTTTACTTTTGGCTATTAGTACACAAATGACTTCAGACATTGACAGAGCTTTTAAATTATCATGACAAACATATTTTGTTAAATCTCAGATGAGATGGGTACTGGCAATTTTTACAATTTTTTTTTTCTGGGAAAAGCCTATGTCACAAATAAATATTCTACATACTAGATTAATTTAATGTAATCACAAGGTATGCTTGGTGATAAGTGCCTGCTTTGATCACAACATTATAGTTGACTTTGTAAGACTTATCTAGAAAGAACAGAAGATTTATGCTGGGCAGAGATTCAATTCTAGTATGACACTAGATCACTTTCTGAGGGAAGACAATACATGCCTCAGGCTAAGCTTGAACTTCTCTTATACTGAAGAAACACCAACCATACTTCCTATCTTGATATGTTTATAGAAGGCCATTACTTTTCTTAGCATGGCATGGCAGAAATAAACATTAAGGACATTAACATTTAACAGTTGTCACCAGCAATATTCACTTAAGTGGCAACCCCTTAAGGGACAAGGATTAATATATTTAAACAAAATTATTAGGTACCTGGAGCCACTGACATAGTTGGGACTTCAAATCAAATGTATACAAATAACTATATGTCTTAGTGAGCCAGATGTTTGATCAACTAGCCCAAGCCAGATGTTGATGACTTTGCGAGTCAAATTCTCCTATGAGAGCATTAGGATGACCCTATTAAGTATGTTTTTATTTAAATAAAAAATGTCAACCTAAAAAAAAAAAATTCAACCTATTAAGCCCTCCTATGGAAAATTTAAAGAAAACCATTCAGCCTCTGAGAAATGTTGATTATGCTCAGGAATTCCTAAGGCTCAAGACAGTGACACCTGCAAGTCTTGGAACAGAAGGAATAAAGACTAGCCAAGAACATATTGCTGGCTGGTTTCCAAGGCA